ACTTTAGACCCATTCTCTACTTGTACTATTGTTCCTTTTATTATTGATCATCTCTTAAGTGTCACTTGTGGCCATAAAACATTCTCTCTAGCAGAAGTTACATTGTTCACAATAAGTAGATCAAACAATAAGCTAACGACAGAAATTATGCAAAGGATGCAAAGCCTTTGTTTCAGTCAGTACCATATAGGGCTGCACGATTTGGGGAAATAATCTAATTGCGATTTTTCTGACAGATATTGCGATTACGAAATACGGCCATATCTCCGGCTAGGAAGGTCGTATCAACGTGCTCGAGCACCCCCGCAGCCCGAGCTACGAGTGAAAGAACTAAACTTACATGAAACTTCCGTTGGGTTGCTTTAAAGTCAAGCTTCAGTTTAAGATTCACCCTGTAATAGAAACATGTGATGGAGCATTACTAACCTGACTCAGATGGTTTGCTTCACCAGACCATCTAGGAAAGCTCCATTGGAAGCCATTTGGAAAAGTATTTCAAAAAGACTTGGCAGACCTACTATCATGGGCCACTTCTGATTGGTTAAAAATGACTGGTACATGTGGAGCACAGCACTTCTGATTGGTGTGGATGACTGACACACAAAAAGAACAAACAAAAAAAAGATTACAAAAAAAAAACTAAAATCGATTAATCGTTCAACCCTAGTACCATATAAGTATTAAAGTTTTAATTCCACATCCATCCAACTAGAGAGAGGCAGGCGAGAGGGAACATAAGGAAAACAGGCTTTTTAATACATGTAGATGAACAAACAGAAAAGGAAAGAAAAGCCAATGGAGAAAGACAGAAAGGTAGATTGGACACTTTGTCTGTGATGATGAGGGGAAAGAACAGACACCATCGTATTGCTCATCTCAGTGTTGTATTCAGTAAGGGGCACTTACATAGTCAATAAACATGGATCGCACATATAAGAGACCTTTCCTTCCTTATTTGCTTACATGACGCTCACTGTGCCGACAAAAACCCCGACTACTGCATCGAAAATCTGTCCGACATACCAAACTCATCTTTTCTTTAAAGATTGCAACTATTAGTCACCAAAGAAGTTAAAGTGGCTCCTCAGACAACAAAAGAGTGAAATTAAATAAAGGAAAAAACACAGATGTCTATCAATTCACAGTGTGAGTGATGTGAAAAAGTAAACAGAGAAAAAAAATGGTGCTGAGGAGGAAAGAGAGGAAAATAGGTAGAGGCTCTTTGTGGGAATTAAGAAATTGTGGCGAAAAGCATTCAATAAACACGTCTCTATAGTAACCAAGATGTAATTTGCTTAGTGAGAAAAGGAGAAAGATGGAGATTGAGGGGGAGTGATGGAGAGAGGGGAATAGAAAAGCATTTACCATCACTGCTTGAGTCCAGAGCTGTAATTACGGAACTGAGACGCAGCGAGAGAAGGGGAGGAAAAGAGCGAGGTACACACAAGAAAAGAGATGCACACAATGTACTTTCACAAAAAGGAGAAGGTACAAGAAGGTTTCACTTTGTGTGAAAATACACACAAAGTGATGACCCCATAAAATTGGCACTGTTGCAAATAAATGTATTAGGCGTTGCAGAGAAAAAGCAGGGAGGGGGGGAGCACACAATGACATAAAAAGAAAAGAAAAAGTTATGAAAAGGCTTCTTTTGTAAGGTAGTGTGTGTGGGAAGTGAGGTTAAAAAAAACATAATCAAACCATGGCTGATCATTAAGCCAAATAAAAAAAAATCAACACCTCTCTGATTAAGTGGAGACAAGAATTAAGTTAAGTCGCTGGGACAACACAAATAAAATCATGGATGGGAAGAGAAGAAGTCGAAGTACAAGTGAGGACGGAGAATAGTGACAGGCGAACCAAGATATCTTATGGCAAGCCGTAGTTCTCGAAAGATGAGTGATAGACAGGCCACGATGTGCATGAAACATTCAAGCATATGGCCGATCAAAAATAGTAGGCGACCAAAAATAGCGGGATTACAGAGGAGACGGAGAATGGGGCCAGTGCCGCTCTGTGTGTGAAAGAAAAAGAGACAGAGTGATATAGGGAGAGGAGTGTGTTCATGCTGTGTAAGTGTTTCAGGAAAAGCAAGTGTGTTTGTATAGGGGTAGTTGATTACAGCTCTGCTGAGTGGCTTGGCGTTGGCCTGTATATGTGGAGATAACAGGATTAAGGGGCTACTGACACTACTGTACAAGAGAGAGGGAGAAATGTGAAGTGTGAAGAGAAGGAGAGAGAGAGAAGGAACAGCAGGAGAAGGAAGACACATGAAGAGAGATTTCTGAAAATTCCTTTGACATTTATTAATAATACTTTTATGGAAAATCATTCACATAAATGGGTGACAAACTTGAATAAATGAGCCACTTAATACACATTTCCTTACAAGGCACTTAATTGAATCAGTCAGTGAAGTAAAACAATGATATGAATCATACGTTATGGCCCTTAGAGTTGAACATGAATGGGCAATCTTTGGAAAGATATGTGAAACCGTTTTCTCTATCCTCATAACATCAGGAATTATTATTTGGAAGAATCTTCAAGTGATTGAAGCCCTTCTGGAGGCTTCTCTGATCCCAACACCTCACTAAGATACTTTTATCTGTTTTGTATTTTCTTTAGTGTGACTTATGCATTTCATTTGGAAAAAAGCTGACCACTTCTTAAGCCTCTTACCTCAGATTCGATTTAAGAAGGAGCCCAGGAAATATATACATTAACTATTGAAAATGACAAACTAGTTCACGCCTGGAGCAATGACAGTGATATGTATTTACAGAGAACTGCAGAAAATCAATGCAGACTTTTGTATTGGACTTTAAGTTGTGATATTCATGAATCTTTTTTAGCCTAGTCCGAGTTGGCGGCTGTGGCTCAGTGGGTAGAGTGCTGGACTTCGAATCAGGGGGTAGCAAGTTCGAGTCCCACTCCAGTCAGCATGTCGTTGTGTCCCTGGGCAAGACACTTCACCCCAAATTGCTCCTGTGGGGATTGTCCACAGTACTGAATGTATATAAGTCGCTTTGGATAAAAGCGTCTAACATATGACATGTAATGTAATGTAATGTAATGTTATGTTTTAAAAGGCCCTGAAAACCTCTTTTCTCATTTAGCTTATTGATGTATGTCATCTTCGACACACGCCAAATAACAGTTTTTGGTAGGCTATTCTTGCTTCTCTGAATGGTAAACTCATGACACCTTAACATGTTTTCTTCCATACATAATACACTTCCACTGAATCTTACATGAATGAGAGAGTATAGGACACACACTATGGGATAACAGACATTTTTTGCTGAGATAAACTGTGCCAGGAGATGTGGGGAAAAACATTTTGACCAGTAATGAGAAGATCAATGAGAGGGAAGATTAGGACGAATGATGGATAGAGATTGAAGAAAGATTTTTTGGAAAGAGTGCTCAAAATGATGAATAGCAGACACAGGATGTGCAGGGTGTGAAACAAATATTTTAGGAGGAGAGGAGGAAGGGAAAGGTTTGAGGACGAATAGAAGTTTAAAGTGCTGATATTTATTTTTCTGCCTGTTTAGTTAAAACGGCTATTAGTATGTGCGAAATTCACCAGCTTTGCAATCAAAGCGGCTCTTAATTTAGTGCCTCATACTGTAGATTTCAATTGGTGCTCCCATGAGGTAAATGAGGCCACTTTTCTCTCCAATGTAATCTGAGTCAAGGGGGGGGGGGAACTGGTCAATTTATAGTCTGAGACACAAGAGTTAGCTGCAGGGCCGCATACTTAAACTGTTCTGATTCTGAAGTCAATTCCAAATTGAAAGTCAGAAAGTTTTCCAAATAGAAAGACGGAAAATTAAATGAATTTTCACAAAGCATTATTAACCTCTGGCACTCTTACAACATGTGTTAGGTTTTGTCTGGTCCAATAGATCAATCAAAACGAGAGAGAGAGACCCCAGCAGAGAGTTTCTCCTCTGTGGTCTGCTTTACTGAGCGCTATCACTAGGGACAAATTAGCCACACAGGAGCACTGAGGCATCATGGGAAATTAATGATCAGGACCTCCAGGAAGTGAGCTAATGAGTCCTAGTGCCACACGCACTTGTACACTATGAGCCAGACACACACATACACAGGATAAAAGATGGAGAAAGCAAGAGAAGGAGGGGGAACCTGCAGAAAGGAAATAGCCAAATGTGCAATTGCAGCAGCAAATAACACAAAGCTATCAATGTATCTTTGACTGGGTGAGTGATAGGGCTGGAACAATAGTAATCACAGACCCACACACACACACACATACTTAAGAGAATCAGATAGCCTAATTAGAGGGGACCACCAGTGGCTTTTGCCCATGGAGGCGTAGTGATTACTGTCACTACACCCTCCCCTGGGGCGTCTGACAACAACCAGTGAATTAATACTTATCAACACATACACAGGCGCACGCACGCACAGGCGCACGCACACACACACACACGCGTCGCTAAACCAAATGAGGGGTGGTGTGGCGCCACACTATTTGATTCTGTTATGTGTTGGGTACCTGAACGCATCATTTTACCAGGTAACGTTGCCCTACTATGAGCTATAGCTACGGTGACTATAGGTTAAAGCTGGAAGGAAATGTGTTATGCTTGTTGAATTCTGTGAAAGGCACATCTCTACTGGAGTATACCTAGGCCTATAGGTAAACACCCTGCATCAGCTGCCCGAGGACTGTGTGTGTTGGAGCATAATGAAAGACGTTTAAATAATAAATAAATTGAGCATCTAGCTCCAGATGAGTCGTGTCAGGGGGGAGAAAATAGGGGGGGGGGGGGGGGGGTGACAGTGACAGCCTGTCTCCCCACACCAGTCGGCGCACCTCTCCAGGATTTAACCCCGCACTACAGTATCACACATCACCACACCCTTGCCCGGTGATTGGCCCAAAGTTTCCCGGGCCCCGCCCTCAGCTCAGCGGACCCTCCCTTCGTCGCTCTCAGCCTGTTGCTGCCAAACCAGCTGGCATTTTCAATTGATATCCTGAGCCAGGACTTTGTACCCGAAATCCTGACCTTTAAACCCAGGTTTATTGTCTTTAATTAATTTCCAAGACTGAGCTCAAGAGTTCCTTTACGGTCATGCGGACCACGGAGAAACTATCAGGAAATGCTCCCTGTGGAAACCCTCACCTCCCACTCTGCAGCCTGTGATTTAACCTGCTATTTTTTAGAAGGACTTTAATCACTTTAGCCTACCTTCATGCATCATGCGAGACTGCAGCAGCACATGACGTAGAAGTTTGTTCACGAGTTGGTGAATCTGCTGGGGAAAAACTGCTCAGCCAGCTCCTCTGTCGGGGTCTCCTCACCTGATCCGCACGCCACTCCCAGCCGCCGGTGCGCAGCTCTTTCCGGGGGGCCCGAGGCGGCCAGGATGGGGACACCGGGGGATCTGCCTGCTTGGAAAGTGACGATGTTCCTCTTTAATTTAATCTCAGCTGTTGTGGCCAAGAGACACATCGTTTATTGGAATTCAACAAACACAAGGTGAGAAAACACTGTGTGCTTAATGGTGCTCCTCTCCAGAAATATGTAAAGTGATTTTTTTTTATGAAAGTGGGCCAAATTATGGTTTATGTCGGTGTAAAGTTTAATTTCAACTTTGCACTGAGCATTGCTGGCCTAAACTTGCTCTGACACACTCTTGCGCAACTACCACAATAATTCCTACTAAATGAGTCAGACCTCTGTTGTTTTAAGGAATCTTTGCGATGCTGCATCACGTCCCAGAACCTAAACACATCACTAACTCAAAAGCCATCAGACTGGTATTTTTGTCAAAGAAGAAACCTGAGTGGCCTGATCTCACCTTCGTCCTGCAGCTATCTTTATAGTAATGACTACACTTTGACCCATTACTTTCACATGTCCACAGCCTTTTAGTCAGTTATTATTCTACTTATAGATATGCCAGATGTAAGGGTTTCTTCATAAGTGTTTGCTCTAAATAGTGTCCTAGATAGCATTCTGAGAACACAAGTGTGTATTAAAGTCTAAAGTGTTGCTGAGCATAAGTGAATATGTAGTTAGATAATGGGAAGGTGTGTGTTTATGAGTAAAGAGTTGATTTGGGGCCATTAGCAAGCCAGAGCGAGGCTCACCTGCTGATCCAGGTGTTCCAGTCTGTCTAATTGAGGGGTTGAGGTGAGAGACCTGCAGGGCCAGTAGGACTACTGCCCAAAATAACACACTCCCTCACCTTCTTATTTAAAGACTCTCGCTCTCCGTGCGGCCTTACTCCCCAAGCACTCTTTCAGATAAGCCACTGGCCAGAGAGACCACTTTGTTTTGTCTAGTCCTGTCTTGTATTTAACATTTTGTGGATGCAAAAATGTACAGAGATATGACTCTCGGGACGGATAATTTCCCCAACTGCTCCTTTGTCAGATCTACAGGCCTCATCCTGTGCTGGAGTCAGCTGAGATTGTATCTAGTGTGTCCAGGCGGGTAAAACCCAGTCCTGTAATTGGGATCCAACCGAAATGTGCCGGGGAGGAAGACTGTGAGGATTAGGAAGCACCTTCTTGTTCCCCGGGGATTCAGGGATGAATGGTCACAGTCTGTGGCAGGGCCACACAGTTGGCTACAACACCACACAATCACAATGCCATCAGCATCACGGCGGCGGGTAACCCACTGTGGCAGAGAATCGCTCTCATCAGCAACACCACCCAATCACAAAGCTATCAGCAGAGCCGTGATGTTGCTCCCGGTCCAAAATCCCCTGGGTTTACTGTTTCATGCCTCTCCTCTCCTTTCCTCTCCTTTCCTTTCCTCTCCTCTCCTCTCCTTCTCCTCTCCTCTCCTCTCCTCTCCTCTCCTCTCCTTCTCCTCTCCTCTCCTCTCCTCTCCTCTCCTCACCTCTCCTCTCTCCTTTCCTCTTTTCCCTTTCCTCTCCTCACTCTTCATTACCTCCCTTGTTACATCCCGCTCTCCTTTTCATTTTTTCTCTGCACTCCCCCCTCCTCGTCCTCCCGCCTCTTTATCTCTCACGGCTCCCTCCTGCCCAGTGATGGATATTGGCGGCGTGATTAGTTGAGCTTCAGTCATTTTCCCATACCATATTTTCTATTAGCTGCCAGCCAGCTAGCCAGTATGTCCTGAGGCCTGTAAATGTAGCCTGGCATGTGAAAAGGAGCGCAGGGACAGGAGAGCGATGCTTCTGTTGGCATGAAGATACACTGCAGGATCAACTCATGCTTATGGTACACTGATCACTTCAGATCACACAATAAGATTTGTCTCAAAGATATTCACCTTTTTTAAATCTCCATATGTGAGAGGCTGAAAACTGTTTCTGCAGTAATCTTTGCATAAAAAATCAACTAGCTGTCCATTATTTGCAATTATTTCTCTGTCAATAAAATAATGGATTAGTCAAATAATTGTTGGAGCTTTATCCACAATGTTGTCAAAGTTTAAATTAAAATACATGTATTTTTATGTACTATCTTACGCTCATGGTTTTGCTTTATGAGCTAGCATCTTTCAACTGTTTTGATTCAGTTTCATTGGGTTTCATCACTTTTGTTAATTGTGTCTTTGCTCTGAAAAAGCTAATGTATAGGCTATGTCGTAGCACACCCAAAACAGATATGTCCTTCATAAAGTTAATAAAGAACAAATCAGAGCAAAATGTGGTCCTAAAGAAAGAAACACAATTTGAAATGCTAGTGTTGGACGGTGTGTGTGCTTAGTTTGTAAAAAAAGCCACTCTTTACTAACCGTTTGCAAACATAATAACTTTACAAGGTAATATGTCAAAGTTATGTTCCCAAAAATCAATGAATGTAGTATGAAATAGCATACTTCTATATTTTTGTAAACGTATGAGCAGAGGAAGCAAGCTGCCGTTACAGACATTACATTTAAGGCTCGCCTCGTATATAACATCACTGTAGCTGGTGAGAAAACAAGCCCCTCTTTATTACGGATGACAGAAGACATTCTCTGGCCATCACCTTTCATTTGACATCTAGATTTATGGTTTTAATGAAGCAGGGGCAGTGAAGTGGAGACTGAAGGGCCGTGTTGCTCTGCTCTTCGCTTTCTAATATGGCTGTAACAAAGGCTCGCTGAAGCTCTTTAACTGGCACACATTTAGCACCCTGCAGATTGAAAAATGGAGCTCTGAAATGAAAGTGATAGACTGATGGGAGGGTCAGCGCTGAACATCGTGGAATCAAGACACCCTTGCCTCTTTCCATTGTGGGACTCAAGTGGTTCGACTGCCCTTTTATGATTTTATGAACCGCCATTTACGATCGTTCCTTGTTTTATAACAGCGTTTCTCTCAGAGCGATAGTTCCTTATAAGAGGAGAAATTATTTGTTTTACTTCCTGGAGCAGTTAAAGGTTAGTAAAATATTATAACTGCTGTGCTCTTAGCTTGAGTGTGTGCTGACAGTACAGTATACCTCGGCTCTCCCATGAGTAGCAGGCTCAGACTAGTTTATTGGTGTATTCAGCCCCCTCCTCTGTTCCATGGTGTGCTTTAAAACTTAGGCCAAATAAGTTGACCAGCCTCTTTGCTGACACTGGCTGCTTCGTGTGCTGCATTCATCCTCATAAATTCACTCAGGATCTGTCAGAAAGTTTACTACGTAGCACCAAAACTTTAGGAATTGAATTGCCTTTTTTCCCCACACAAGAGATATGGCTTTTAGGATACTTTTGCCACTCGTTTATGGGCTGCTCATACATCTGTAATAAGAATAAATGTCACCCAAACTCGAGCCTTAAATCAGCTACTCCATTTCCCCGTCCTCTTGACTTATCCTTGGTCTTGGCACACACCTCTACTATTGCTTTCTCCTTTTACCTGACATGGCAGGAGGCGAACTTGTTGCAACAGTTCTTTTCGGATCACAGCTCTAACTCTTGTTTCCAGTCACCTCTTGTCTTTCCTTTGCAGAGCCTAGGATTACCAAGGTGTCAATTAGAGATAAGCGTTTCACAAAAGGGGATACCACACAACAAAAAAATTATTCAAACCAATTTCTCTTACCTCTATATTTATGTATTTCTCACTCTGGAACTCACTCTGCAAGTCTGGACACAGAATGTAACTCCACCAGAGTCCTCTGAACTCTCTCTCTTACCTCCTCATCTGAGTCTCTCTCCCCTTTCTGGCAAAAGCTCAGGGCGAGCTCCAAGCCAGTGAAGCGTGTTTAAACAATGCGTGAGGAGATGAATATTTGTATTGGTTTTCTGTATCTTTATTGAAAGCAGCCCTCATAAGTCTTCTGTGTAATCTCTGCTCTGTTTATGCATAATTTCCCTTTGTGTGCACTCATGAATGATCTACTTTAAATACCAAAGTAAATCACATTCTGCTCTGCATACCTTCTCACACACACATACACAGACACACACACATACACACACTTGCCATGTACAGTAAAGTGAAAGCAGACAGTGTTTGTAATTGTGTCTTGTGTCTTGGGAGATGATTGCACTTCTAGACTGATTTCTTTCTTTATATATTTTTTATTATTTCTTCACCGTCAATGGGTCTATGTCTATCAATTCCTTCTGTGTTGTGTGTGTGTGTGTGCAAATGAATGTATTTATCGTACTTCCTGATATCTCTCCTCACTGTGTCTGTCTCTCTGCTAATCTCTGTCTTCCCCTGGTAAATGATTAACATGGAGAACCTGGCTGAACTATAATCAACAAACCCACAGTGAGGTAATTACCACCTTATTCCCTGTCCTGCTAACAAAGCAATCTCCCCCCCCCCCTCTCTCTCTCGCTCTCCATGTCTCTGTCTTTCCCTCTTCATCTGTCATCTAACTGTATCAATCCCCCTTTTCTGTGTCACTGCCTATTGTCTAGCTCACTGCTGCGCTGCGGTCTGTGTAGATCAGAGATGTGTTTGTGATAGTGATTGTGTAACTTATCTGTCCCTGTAAATGTGCTTTGTCTGTTTGTTTGTGGTATTGAGTGTATTATCTGGAGGTAAACGAGTGTATTATCTGGAGGTAAACTATGGATGAGTAAACTTTGTGTACTTGCGCTTCTTCTTCTCTGTCTGAAAACAATGAGGCAGTGATTTTTAGTGCCAATGTTGTCGGTTGAAGTTGTTTTTAGTGGAACTATAGTAATGTGTGGTGTGTGTGTTTAATTTTGGAACTAACCTACCGGTTTGAGAACTCTCTGTTCCCTTGAGGGGAGATGAAGTGTGATAATTTCCGTTCTGGAGAAACAAAACCCAGAAATGCACCAGGATGCCCAGCCCTATTAAAACCTTTCATTCATTTGTGATCCTCCACATGATTCATCGTTTTTACAAGTTTTCTGAGAATTTCTCTTTTCCGCTCACAGCACGCAGTGAAAGTGGCTACGACTGTAAAACCTCCTCAGTTCCGGCCAGCGGTGTGCGGCTCTGGGAATATTTACCAACCGCTGTGCTGGCCTCTCGTCTAAATAGGTCATTGTTTTGTTTCCACTCGTTAGCTGATTTAAGGTGTGACTAAAAAAAGGAG